CCTTTGCGATCCATCTGGAGCGCTCAGGGGTAGTGCCACTGAATAACAATAGGACCTCAGACACCTCTCTGCTCCACCACGTTATATTTCTTGATTTCATTTATTCATTTATAGCATTTCTATACTGTTCTATTAGCTCAATGCTCTCAGAATGGTGTGTTTTAAAATGTTCCAAATAACAACAATTTAAAAACAGATTTAAAACAAACACATCTACCATAAAACTTCCCAGTAACAATAAAATTCAACAACATATGCAGGGAAATTAGAAAGGGTCCAGCGGAGGGCAACAAAAATGATCCAGGGTTTGGAAACACTGCCCTCTGAGGAGAGACTGGGAGAACTGGGCATGTTCAGCCTTGAGAAGAGAAGACTGAGGTGGGACATGATACCCCTCTAGAAGTACCTCAAAGGCTGTCACAAAGAGGAAGGTCAAGAGCTCTTCCTGCTGATGCCAGAGTGTAGGACAAGGAATAATCAATTCAAGCTGCGACAACCCAGATTCAGGCTGGACATCGGGAAAAGCTTCCTCACTGTCAGAGCAACACGACAGTGGAACCAGTTGCCTAGTGAGGTGGTGGCTCTCCCACACTAGAGGCATTCAAGAAGAAACTGGAGAGCCATTTGGGTAGGATGGTGTAACGGGGTGTCCTGCAACAGCAGGGGGCTGGACGCAGTGGCTCCTTCCAACTCTACTATTCTATGATTCAATGATATATAACAGTAATCAAAGCAACAGAGTGCAATACATAATAACGACTATTCCACATGTACCAAGCAATTAAAAGCCAACGTAAAACTTTACTACTTGTAAATATATGTGTTTCTATGATTTTGGAAATACTGTTACCCTCCAGTATCATCTTTAACTGGGTTCAAAAGTGTAGTTTTGTGTTTTGGAACTCGTATTCCCACATCTGCCTTTATTTAGCTTCGTGGGCAAGAAACTAGTTTTAGTCTCACCATTTTGCCTTCTGGGAAATGGGTATTTTGTAACTGGATGCATGCATCATGGCAACAGTTTTATGAACGAGCACCCTCCCCACCGCACAACAGCAGTTTTATGAGCACCCATGACCCACACGCAGGAGAACCGGGCAACAGCTCCAAGCTCCAGCCAGACGACTCCCACCCATCCGTTATCTGTATTCTTTGTCTGCACTTCAGGAACATCGTCCACAAGAAACAGAACACCCATCAGAGACGCAACTTCTTCATATTTTCTGAAAAACGTCTCTGACGCTCTGTCCATCATCAACCACTCCACTTTCAAAGTTATGTTTTCATGGGAAAAGATCTGGCTTGGCAAGCAACAAACCAGCAACAGCACGCATACTTAAGAGGAAACGGGAAGCTGCTTTGTTGTAAGAGCCCAGTCATTTCCTTTGTCACCCATGCTTAGAAAACTCAAACTGCTGTATAGAATAATAAGCAAATATAATGGATAGGTAGCATTAGTAATGTCTATTAAAGCTCAATATTTAACAATTAAAATAAATAAATGTGAATTGGTCTGGTGGGATCCAGTGAATGGTGACCAGTGTGGTGGTGTTTTTTGGTTCCACAACAGCAGCTTCATAACTCCAAGAGTAACAGAATAATCATATTGGTTTCATAAAGTGTCTTCTAATTTTACAGGCTCTGGCTAGGATGTGAAGGAACACAGAGTGATTATGTTGCAATGTCACCTCTGCCCATTATATTTTGGGACCTGGTGAGTGTCACTGCTCTCTTGAGGTCACAGAGGTGCTAACACCAATTAAAACGGTTTCAGGGTGGGGTAGGAATTTTTATCCTAACTGTGATGTGCAGAGAGAAAGTTACACACAGCTTGCAGCTCTCTAAGCACAAGAGGCTTGTGGTTGAGCTCTTCCCTCCTCTTCCATTATGCTCTGGGCCTGTGGGGTACTCCAGAAAGGTTAAAATGCAGCTCAGGCAGAAGTTTCTGATCAACTGGGAAAAACCTAAAAATCTTTTATCTTCCCTGTGTAATAGGTTTGACAGTATTACTTATCAGAGCTATTTTTTTTCTGAAGCCGAAGTAGAATGAATATTGCTTTTTAAAAAAGTAATAAAACCTCCTGAAATGTTTAGACGTGCAAGTCATCTCCCAAATCCCATACCATGCAGTAGAACTGTTCAGTGTAAACATACCGCACAGTATACTGAGCTGAATAAATACCAAAGTTCTTGGCCAGAGGAGATTTAAAAGCTAAAACTATAAGAATATAAAATGTGGGATAACAAAGAAAAAACAAACAAACAAACCCTGAGCTTCAGGCTTTACAAATGGAAAAATGACAGAAATGGGTTTTTACTTCTCTGTCCCGTGTAAAAGCATTATGTTCGTAAAATAAAATATAAATATCCACAGTACCTAGCCACCTGTTACTGCAGAGAGATAATTTAACCCCATCATCCTTACTTAAAATCTATGGCTTGCCTTCTAAGCAACATTTGCAAAACAATCTATGAAAAAGCCCAGAACGGATATTCATTATTTCAAAGCATATCCTTTGGTTCATGTGGCTTGGGATACACACAGTACAGCTCTCTGCTTTAAAAAATAAACTAAGCAAGTCAATATATATTATTTTATTTTAAGGTCAAGTCACAGTGTAATAAGGACTGGCATTTCCAGACACTACAGTGAACACCACACTGGAAAAGTCAGGAGATTCCAACCATTGCTATTGCCAGCCTAATCACTCTGGCCAGGATCCAAAGGGCCGCTGGGCACACCGAAATGCAGTGAGTATGCATTTGGAGAAAATTTTCCTATGGCCTTTGTACAGATTAAAAAGTTGCTTACCTCTGGCAAAAATAGCAGGCACCTGGGACACCAGTGGCATCCATTATTTTTTCATCTGTGCAAATATTTTAACTCCCAGCTCTTTACCTGACCGTAGGTTCAAAAAGTGCACTGATACCTAATCCTCCTCAAGAGATCTTGAGTGTGAACTCTTGCTGAATCTTGCTGAGAATCTGGAATCACTGGGGCCTCACATACAGGGCTTTTTTAACTTCAGTGATCACAACACGGATTGCTTACTATTGTTGTGTGTCTTGAGTTTTCAGATCTGCAATGTACTATTGCAGGACATGGAGTGTGACAGCAGGTCCTAGATAGGAGAATCATGTAATTCGAATGGTACCCTAACCACCACCTATCTCCTACATTTAGTGAAAAGTCCTACATTTAGTGAAAAGTCCTACATTTAGTGAAAAGGTACCTCTGCTGCCTTCACTGCCTCTGTTGTTTCTTCGGCCTATGTACCCCAAAACCTATGCGTAGCTCAACTTGCTCGTTTAGTAAAACATTTTATACACCGGATGAATCACTTAAAGTTCATTCAAAGTTATGCCAATAATCCATGTGTTAGTCTTCAAGATCTCATCAGGTTCTTTGGCTGCTGTCATAAACACCCAGCAGTAGGTCCGCGTGAAATCAGATGTGTAAGCATATTCTGGATGGCGCTTTTAACGACTAGCTTACTCAATACAATTTACTACAGATGAGCTAACACCCCTGAACTCCATGTGTGATCATGTGTGCAGTCCATCTGATTATATATCACTGTTGGTCGGGGATACATTAGAATTCATCTGATAAGGAGACATGAAAACAACACATTTGTGAATGCAAACATTCATAGTGAGTCTTGCAGGAGTTTGACCAGGTTACACCAATCAACGCACGTGAACTACCCATATAATCATCACGCCAGCAATGCACAGAAGCGGGAAGTTCCAGTCGGGTCCGATTTTACCAAAAACTCGCGCCGGTTTCGCTAAGGCTGCAACTCTGCGCGTCCCTGTCTCAGAGAAGCCGCGCCGAGCACAAAGGGGGACACTTTCCAGCAAGCGCGCATCAACTGGGGCTGCAGGGATCGCGCAGCACCGGCCGTAAAGCGTGGCGCCCCGATCACCCACTCGCGCCCTCCTTGTCACCGCTGCCCCATTTTAACCCGAGGCTAAATCCCTCCTTTGTCACCCCCCGTTTCACCTCTTTCGACGCATGACACATTTCAGCCCCAGCCCCAACCTCTCTCGCTCTCTCTTCAGGCGCGACCTCTTGAACTGAAACAGACAAACAAACAAAAAAAAATCAAGGTCATGCAATTCCCCCTCTTTTTTATTGTTTCGGTTTTTTGCTGCAAGCTCCAGCACGCACTACTACATGCGTCAGGCGAACCGCCACCGCCACCAATTAAAACTCCCCTCTCCGCTCTTAAAATGCCGACCAAAAAAAGGAAAGCCACCCCTTTCCGCTAAAATGGACTCGGCCGCTCTGTCGGAAGAGCAGCGAGGGGGAAAGGGTCGGCCCGACGGCGAGGGGAGGGGAGGCGAGGCGAGGCGAGGCGAGGGGAGGGCTGGCTGGCTGGGCTCAGGAGGCTCTTTGCATGCGGGGAGAGCGGGAGGAGGAGTTATGGGCACGGGCGCCTTGTTGCTATGGGGAGATTGCGAGGGAGGCGGCGGCGGCGGCGGCGCTGCTGCCGCCGCCGCCGCCGCTGCCTCTGCCGCCGCTGCTGCTGCGCAGGGCAGGGAGAACCAGAGGCGGCGCAGCAGCTGCTGAGCGGTGACACATTTCCCCCTCTTACTGCCACTGCTGCCATATTGTGCCCCCCCGTCCTCCCCCCGTTGCACAAGCTTCATGAGTACTGTGAGTTTGAACCTTTCCTTTATTAACGATCTCTGGGTCGGGGTGGGAGTTTCCGTTTTTCCACTAATTCCCCCCACTTCCCAATTCCAGGATTTTCTTTTTCTCTTGCTTATTTCTTTCTCTTTTCCCACTTTTATGTATTCGTGTTTTAAAATCGAAATGCGAACGGATCCCTCTCTCTTTCTTTCTCCCTTCTGCTTTTTGTGAAATTTACTTGCAGCGGTGGGGTACGGATCGGAGTGGGCTGGGGTGGGCTTGGAAACGGTGTATTGTGTTGGTGGGGCGGGGAAGAGGTTTCGCGGTCGCTCTCTTCCCCCCCACACACACTTGTGCCTTGATCGCACCATGCGTGGCGTGTGTTAACACGGAGGCTGACATGGTGTCGTGTGCATTACGTTACGATGGACGCTCTCGCTCACCAGGGGAACCTCTTGGAGGACTGACGGCAGGGCTGGCAGCGAGGAAAGGTGATCGTGTCAAGAGGCAAGAAAGGGACATGGGTGCGCGTGTATATTTGTGAGGTTGTGCCCGCGAGTTTCGGGGAATTGCTATGTGTGCATGTCTGATGCTTACAGACGTGGCGGTCTGGGGAAACCCGCTGGAGGCGAAGGGGAGAAATGCTGTGGGGACTGGGATATTTCTACGGAGGGGGGAGGGAAGGTCTGCTGCCCGCGACGGTGGTGCGAAGGCCCCGGCTGCGTGCGTGTGAAGACAGGCGTGGGTTTGATTGCCTCACTGAGGTAGGAGAGCAGCGCCACTCCCGGACCTGTTTTATATGGGGCGCGGGGAAGGAGTGATTTGGACGTGGGTTAGCTGGCCAGGCTCGCTGCCGGGGTGGAGCGGAGTCGTGCTGCAGGTGTGGACGCGAGTTCCCGCAAGGACGGCTGGGCGTAGCGGGACCCGCACATGGGAAGTCTCGCCCCCGCCCCCCGCGCACACTGACCCGTGCGCCGATGCTTTCGCTGTACGTGCCATGGGGTGGCTGCGGCTCCCACGGGAGGGAAGAGTTTATGGGACGGGCAGGCGGGGGTTCCGTTTCGGTGGCTGCTTGGGAGAGGCTTGCTCCCCCCGCGGTGCTTCCCCCACCCCTCCCTTTCCCTGTGACCTTTCTCCCTCGGTGCCTGCCTAGACTCTTTGGGGAGCGGGAGGGCTCTTTCTTTCTTCGTCTTGCCCGAGGGCTTCGCAATGCGAGCGAGTCCTCCCCCCCCCCCCCCGCTCCGGACTTTGCTTTTCCCCTGGAGAGCGCGGCCATGTGCCTGCCCCTCCACCCCTGAGACGGTCGTGATCAAAGGGGAGGGGGAAGAAAGAAGCTCTCGGGCGATTGCTAAATTGTGTGCCTCCCCCTTCCTCCCCCTTAAAAAGCTTCCCCTTCCCCACGGCTGTCAATCTTTCTTCCCACCGCGAAGTTGGAAGGCGCTGGAGCCCGTTCGCTTCGCATGTTGCAAAAAGTTCTCTTGCCCTAAAAGTGAAATGCAGATGAATTCGTGCTCATCTCCCCACCCTGTTTAGTAAAAGACCCCCCCCCCCCGGCTTCCCCTCTTGTCCAGCCGCCACCGGTTACTTTGTTCAGTTCTTCCAGCTTTAGCTGCCCCCATTTTGGTTGGGGTTATGACAGCCACGTGGCCGGCAAAGCCTTCCGGCAGGGGAAAGGCGGCCGGGGGGTCACAGGGGCGGCTCTGGGAGCGTGTGGCTGCGTGTTACCAGCCCAACACAAAGCCAGGAGCCAAGTGTGGGACTCCTCCTCCTTTTCCTCCGTGGGAGCTTGAGAAGAGGTGCTCCCCCCCCCCATGCGGTCTCCGCAATATTACATCAGTTCTGCCTCCCTCTCTGTCCTTTCTTCGCTGTTAAAAAATCAAAATCAAACTCTTTCTTTAGATGCAAGTGCAGGGGATGCAACTTGCATCCAGTCATGCTGGATTGATCAAACTGGTCTAAAGAATAGCACACCCATTCTGTAACTGCATGGCTGCAAATATATGTTAAGATCTTGACACACACACAATTTTCAACAAACTTTAAAATCTCCACATGCCTGCACACACAGGTAGGTGCATGTCCTGAAAGGACAGTGAGCTCCCTTTTCCTTTTCCTTTTCCTTGGAGCCTTGAATATGAAAATCCTGTGAAGTGTTTCTTGCAAATGGGGTGGGGGGGCAGGGAATGCAGGTTTTCTCCTTGTCACAAAGTTCTGACTTATTCTAGCACATGGTGTGTGGCTGTGTTAACATATTACTGTACCGCGCAAGCATTTGTTTTTAGCTGTGTTTTTAATACCTTTTTCATTTGACTATTCCAGGCTGTTTTGAGGATCATGTGGGGTGGCATTGATATTTAATAAAGAAATGAAAATGGGATGAACAAATGTAGAAAATTTGCAATGTTTTAGTAAATTTTAGACTTACTGTAAATTTACTTAGTAAATTTTAGACTTATTAGACTTACTGTATAATAATAAAAAGAGACATATCTCAAATGTTATTAGTGGCATATGTACTACCTACATTCCATCTCACAAACAATGCTAAGATAAACAATTATTTCTTCATCTTGCAGGTAAGAGAATTTAAGCTTGGGGGAGTTCTGTAACAGAGGGGTGGGAGAGCCATGTTCCTTTAGATGTTGCAGGACTCTAAGCCCCATCCAGCATGAGGCAATGGGAATTGGAATTCAGCAAGTTCCCCACCCCTGCCCTAGGCCCACAGAACGGCCATATCTGGGTTGAACGTGGGGCTCCCCGTCTGCTGCCAAAAACACATGCAGACTTCCTTTTCCTGAACCTGGTTATGGTTTATGGTGATAATAGGATGCCTTATAGAAATACACCATCTCCCTTTATCCTACAGGTTTAGGGTTTTGTAACTTGTTTATAAGGTCAGGTAGTGCCTCTCCACTCCTACCAGCCTGTTTGGTGGCAGCACTCATCAAGAAATATGCTTCTGGGGGTGTCCCCTGATGGCTTGGAAAAGGACTTTTAGTAGCGTAGTACCCATTCTCTGGAACTTCCTGCCACTGCAAATTAGAGAGACCCCCCCCCCCCCCCGGCCCTTCCATTTTTTTGGTGCCTACTAAAAACACATTTTCTGACAAGCATTTCTCAGAGGCTAATCTTGTCTAAATAAATAAAATATAAATAAAATACAGTATTTAATTCCGATCTTATATTCTTGCTTTGCACATCACATTGAAATTTATATTAATGTAAACAATTCAGAAATATTGCTAAATAAAAATACATATTGCTGGGGCACAAGTCTATGTGAATGACCTTAAGCTTCAAAACTCACAGAATTATGGCCATCCTATGTGGGTTGAGGGGAGGGCAGAAGTGATCTGCCCTTCTGCGGTCCTTCCGCCTTGCTGGACAACCATTTTCAGCAGTGTCACTGAGGCGTTTCAGACAGGGAGCGAAGGATTCTGGGTACCACCTGGGCAGATCTCCTCTGCTTCCCACCAGCCCCTTAGCCCTTCTCTGTTGCTTGGTCTTACAACCTCGAAAGAAGCAGTCAGCCTGGTTCTTTCTGCTCCAGCTACAAAGTGGGAAGTGGGAAGTCAAGAATATACGCTCAGCTCCGAGGTCAAAGCCCTTTTCCAACCCTGGATCTGGAAACTGGAAGACTCCCATGCTCCCTAGGATCTGTATATCTCCAGAGAGAGCAAGTGCTCATGTGAATGTACCTCCTCTTTCTTTCAGATGCTTCTCACTCACAATAGAGCTCTGGAAATGATTTCCCGGGGGCGGGGGAATGGTCTCTGAAAAGCCCCTCCTAGATGGATGCCCTGTTGGGACTAAAACTTTGTTGGTGGGCAGGAATTGCTCTAATAATTTGCTAAAGGGTTCAAAAATTCTGTCTCAACTCCTTGTAGGACTTTTTGTGGGCATGTGGAAAGGTTCATCTCAGTCTAGGTGTCTAAAATATTTTAAGGGAACTACTTTGCATGAAGCCTTCAACTTTTGAGGACTTAATAAGATGTAACACACATAATTTGCAGTTGACAGGAACCCTTTAACCTAACGTCCGCAGGGCTTCCAGTCCTAAAAATTATACTCAGGCAAACTTGCAAGACTTTATTTGGTAGACCACCTCAGAAGCTTTATTTACTTCTTAAAGTGGCTCTCCTGTTTTAAAGAGCATTGGGGAAGACATGTGAGGTTGGGTGTAAACTTTCTGGAGGAAGGCTAAAACATTTGGCAGATTGCTGATAGCTTCCTGCATAATGTATGGTTTTTAATAACTGACTGGGAATGCATTCTGTTACTTAGACAGTTTGGTGGGTAGGTGAAACACTACATTTGTTTTCTGTTCAAAGCTAGAATGAAACAACCTTTGAATTCCGAATGATAGTTCCTTTCTACCAATTTCCTGGTCCTTGGGTCTTGCTTTCGGTTTTCTTTTTATGTGTAAGTAAAGTAACTAGTGTATTTCAAACTGCTATAAAGGTAGGTTTGGCAGGTTAGTGACTTAAATTGATTGAAGGCACACAAGACATCCACCATGTTGAAGCTGAGCAGGCCTGGGCCTGGCCTGAGCTTGGAGGGGAGACCACCTGGGAACCGCATGTAGCCACCTTCTGTTCCACAATGGCAGAAAGTTGGGATATAAATATAATAAACAAATAAATATAAATAAATAGTGTCCAGAACAGCCATCTCCAGCTTATACTCTCCAGATATTTTGCGCTCCAGCACCCAGCCCATGTGCCTCTTTGTCATGTTAGTTGGGAATTGTAGTTTACCAACCCGTCCAGTCAGTGTCAGGTGAAGAAAGCCCATGTAGATTATTTGGCTTGTACTGGGTAGAACTGGAACCTTCCCTCCACTGTGAAACTTGCTGGGTAGCACTGAACCAGTCACTGTTCCTTGCTTATCCTACCTTGCAGGGTTGCTTTGAGAATTTAATGGCACACACCATGTGGAGGTCACCGGGCATTCCTGGGAAGCCATAGAATTATCCCTTAAATTTCTCTCTCTCTGTGTGTTCCCACTGATTTTGATCAAGGAAGTGTCAACTTTTTCATTGAAAGCACCAGGGCACAACAGTGTTGAGTTCTGGCTGGATCGTGCATGTGGTCTGGCATAGGTTTTTGTTTGGACAGTGTAAATGTCTCATTCGGATTTTGAGAAAGGGGAAAAATTGGGATGACATCCCTACCCCACACCTGGTCTTGAAACTGTTGTTGGAAGAGTGTAAAGAGAATTTATTAAGCTTCAGATGCCTTTTCAGCTTCCCTTGTAGCCCATTGCAAGCAAAGCAGCAGGTATTTAATGAGCTTTTGCTTTTGATACTGCCCACAAATGATGTCCCCAGCAAATGGTTTCCGTTATCTCCATTTGCAAGCAAGGTTTCTCCCCTCCCCATACAGATCTCCCCCCGCCCCCAGCAAGTGTAAGAAAGGGCCTTTCCCAATCAGTTGGGAAGGGTGCCTAGTCTCATGGGTATGGACTGAAAGAACAGGAGTCCTAGACCCAATCAAGCCAGAACTTGT